AAATCCCTAAACCGTAAAACCCTAAACCCTAAATCCCTAAACCCTAAATCCCTGAACCCTCAACTTTAGGGTTCAGGGGTTTAGGGTTTAGGGTTTAAGGGTTTGTAAGGCTGAGGTTCCGCTTTGTGGCTTCTAGTCATGCCTCAACCTGCGGTTTAGAGTTTAGGGTTTGGGGGTTTGGGGTTTAGGGTTCTGGGTTTGGGGTTAGGGTTTAGGGTTTAGGGGTTTAGGGGTTTGGGGCTTACGGTTTAGGGTTTAGGGTTTAGGGCAGTGGAAGCCAGAAAGTTGGAACATCATTATCCGCATGCCCTTAAGGTAAAGCATAAGGGATCCTCCTAAACCTACGGTTGATGATAGAAAGCTTGCATTACCCTTAATAAGGAATAGACCACAATTCCCATAGTTCACGGTCGTGAAGTTAATGCAGGGTTCAAGTCATCAACAGTCGCACTAATCCTCCGAAACCTGTGTTCCAATTTTCTGGGTTTCGCTGTGGACCCTAAACCCTAAACCCCCTAGGCCCTCAGCCCACGATGCTTTTGGCGCTGAGCCCCTAAGCCAAGGCCTGATCACTGAGTCCCACGGGCTCGGGCCTTTGGGGGCAGTTTTTGCAACTGGGTTTAGGGTTTAGGGTTTTTGCAATGAGGGTTCAGGGTTTAGGGTTCAAGGTTTAGGGTTTGGTTTTTTTTTCCAGTTTGGGTTGCAGGTTTTTGGAATTCAGTGTTTCAGTGTGCTCTACAGGGACTGAGTGACTAGTAAGAGAAGACCCTTCTATTCTCCGTTTTACGAAGAGCATACGCATGCATACCCCAAAACCCATTCGAATGACGGCCCGTGTAGTAAGCCTTTCAAATACCCTTAAGCAAACCAAATAAGACTATATGACACTTTTCTAAAACCCTGTGCCTGTAAGTAATAGATTTGCTTGGGATTGTACTTTCAGGTATTTCTTGCTGGGCGAGGATGAGACGGCACTACGTTCTTGGGAAGAGGCCAAACGCAGCTGCATCGAAACGACGCCTCGGGGCTGCATCTTGGGGCTGCTTTAACGTGAGGTTTCCTATTGCCAATTGCATGTTGATGCCCTAGATGTACGTATACAGTATATAATTAGGCCCTACAGGCCTTAAGTCATTAAGTAACTTAAAGCACCTATGTAGGAACTCCTGGAACTAGGCTTAAGTATATACTCTAATATATATATATATATATACATATATATATATATATATATCATATAGCTACATGGAGCCGTAGGGTATGTAGACCCGAAGTGCGCCCTCCTGCGGACTTAGGCTTGAACGACTGGATGCCGAGGGCACTCTTGACGAGGCTATGTTGCCTTAGGGCTAAGCTTGAACTCGGTTGTGCTGGTTTAGGGCTTAGGGTTTAGGGTTTAGGGTTTGTTGAGGGGGTTGTCGTCTGCGGGCTTGTGTGGTATGCATCCGGCTTCTCAGCAATTTGCAGCTTTGACACAGGCCTTTCTTATATTCTAGAGTCCATTATAGCAGACCGTTTACAATCGCAGCGCTTTGATTTGCGATGGGATGTGTTCGACAAAGCTTCCGAAATCTTAAACGCTTGAACAGAGCCTGTAAAAACCTATCACATCAGAACTCATAAGCCACTTGCAAGGTCCTATAACAAGCCCTCATAAAACTTTGTGAGAAACCCATAATATACTTGCCTAAGTAATTACCTCATTATACCATTTGGGGGGGGGTCCTTATCACCATTATGCCATACTATACCCCAAAACCCTATTCTAATTATAAGGCCCCTACATTACAGCGATTCCAACGTGATATACAGCGCGCATTACAACTTGAAGTTCCTCAAATTGACAGACCTGCACTTGGAGGTTCACGGGACTTAGCAGGTACAGTTCTAAGTAGTCTCAATAAGCAATGATAAATGTATATAGTTACCTTTCTCACAGCCCTAAGTTGCTGAGTCGCAAGGTCCCCTAAACCCTAAACCCCTAAACCGGGTCCTTTAAGTAATCACGACCCTGGATTGCAACGTCGGTTTTTGTTCACCAACCCTAAGGGTCCATGTACCCAAGCAGTAGAACATTGGCCTTAATGTAGTCCTTATATAGGTACTTTGGGGCCAATGTTCTACTATTTGGGTACATGGATCCTTAGGGAACCCTAAACCCTAAACCCTAAACCCTAAGCCCTTTAAAGGAACCCTTAAAGGAACCCTATACATGGATCCTTAGGGCAAGTTCATATTCAGCTCACTTTCCGTTTGGGCTGCTATTGGGTTTAGGGTTTAGGGTTTAGGGTTTAGGGTTTAGGGTATAATGAGAAAACAAGTAAACAAGGTAGCCCAGAAGGGGAGCTGCAAATAAGCGTCCACATGAGCTTGTCAGGACATGTAGGCCAGCGCATACATTCAGAGACTTAACACGGCTTCGGTCAGTCTAAAACTCCTTGCTTGGAGACGCTCAGCTACACAAGGAGGGGATTCGCAAGCCAAGTCTTTCAGCCAGCCAGCCGCAAGGGTATTGTGCTGCTATACTCTGCTTGAAGGTTCATGGGTTGCTATACTTCGGGTTCTAAGCACCTTCGTTATGGCCATAAATAGATGTCGCTACATTTGCCGCACTCACTACGCAAGTCTGCTCATTAAGTAGCCGTACTCCGTCACGGTCCCTGCATAGCTATGTAAAATAATGTGATTTCGAAACTCCCCGCACCACAAATCCCTAATCCAATTCCTAGCCTTTTAAGCCCTAAAGCCTCATTCACCCTAAGGGTCCATGTGCCCAAACAGTATATACATTGGCCCTAAAGTACCTATATAGAGAATACATTAAGGCCAAAGTATATACTATTTGGGCACATGGACCCTTAGGGTCAGAGAGCCCCCGGATTTTCCCTCAGATTACGTCCGCCTTGCAGAACGCGGCCCCTATTCTTGTCACAGGTGCCTTGGGCTTTCTTCTTTGGGGCTTACTGGTCCCGGTTGTAGAAGGCTTGTCTAGGGCTTCGAGAAGGCTGCTTACAGGCCTGTAAGTGTATATGGGTTCTATACGGGTTCCACGGGATTTTAAGGGCGCGACAAGTTTTTGATTACATCAACGTCGGTCCTGTGTGGCTTGATAAAGGTTCTATAGCGAACTGCAATTTGCGTCGGAGCTCAGGGTTAAAACACTCTGCACACACACACACATCAAGACACCAATATGCTCATGCCTCATGCATACACGCATACACGCATACATGCATGCACACATCATGCATGCTTACATCCATGCATGCAGGCATGCATGCATATACATCGCATGTAAGAACCAACTGCAAGCACATGAAATGATGCCCTCCGCACAAGACCACTGCAACCCAAATACAATTATCCTCAATCTTGCTAAACCCTAGACCCCTAAACGCTAAACGTCTTCAGTGTGGTACAATGCTATGGGTTTAGGATTGAGGGTTTAGGGAGTTTAGGGGTGGAGGGTTTGGGGTTCAGGGGTTTGAGGTTTAGAGTTTAGGGTTTAAGGTCTTCTTGTGGCTGTTTTCAGTGATTGTTGCTACTCTTGCGTGTCATTCTGCTGAAGGTCGTGTTTGGTGGCATCCTTGTTCACTTGCTCCTTCACGTCTTCACGATACCCCAGTCCTTTAACTCAAAGACTACCCGTCTCAGTGCCCATGAGAACCCTAAACCCTAAACCCTAAGCCCTAAACCCTAAACCCTAAAACCCTAAACCGCCTGTGCAACCTGAGAAGCGGCCGTCCCAAGCCTGTTACGGCGCCTTTCAACTCCTGTCAAGTCCTGGTGAACGGGGTTAGTTAAGGAATATACCTTAAATCATATTAGGGATCCTACTATAATTCAGGGTATATTCCTTAATCAAGAGATATTGGAGTCTCTGGGTCTAAAGCCCTAGCCCCCAAAGGGAGTTCTGGATATCTCGGCTCGGCATTGATCCGGACGCTGCGATCCCGTGGAATTAAGGCCCGGTGCCCACAGGCGTTCGTTTCTTTTTTTTGGGTTTGTCGGTGTCGGGTTTAGGGTGCAGGGTCTATGCCTACCCTAAATTTCGGCAAGCTACGCTGGCGAACCCTAAACCTAAACCCCTACTGCCCTAAACCCTTAACTATACACCCTAAACTCCAACCCCCCGGTGAAATATAGGGTTAAGGGCACACCTGACTCTTTGTCCCAAAATCCTCAACCCTAAATCCTAAACCTTAAATCGTTATGAATGGCCCAGTTAGTCAGTGCATAAGGACATTTGAGCTTGAGCTGACGGATTCGAGCTTTTAAAGCTTACCCTAAGGGTCCATGTATACATTGGCCCCAAAGTACCTATATAGGGACTACATAAAGTGTATACTATTTGGGTACATGGACCCTTAGGGTTAGGGTCCAGGGGTCTTTAATTTGATAGGGTTTCGGGTCTCGGCTTCTGGGCTTTGGGGTTTTAGGGCGCGAGGTTTAGGATCCAGGCGTTTAGAACTGTAGGCTTTAGGGTGCGAGGTTTAGGATTTAGGGGTTTAGATGGGTTTAGGCTTCGGGTTTTTGAAGGGTCTTAGGTTACGGGTTTTCGGGTTTTCGGGTCTTACGCTAGCGTTTACATTTAGGGTCTAGGGTTCGTGGGTTCACGGTGCAGTTTAGACCTTAAAGGTTTAGGGCATGGGCCCAGACATGATAGGCCGTAAGCCAGAAACCCTGAAGCAGAAACCCTAATTTAAACACGAAAACAGGGTTTACGGTTTAGGGTTTAGGGTTTAGGACCGCTTCGCGTTTGGAGTTTCGGGGCTCTGGTTCAGCGTTTTCCCGTTTCGTTCTTTGTTTCAGCTGGGCTCTTGGCAAGCCCGAAGATCTTACCAAACCTCTTGAAACCACGGTAGCGTATCGAGTAGTTAGTAGTCATATGCCCTGCTACTGAAGCTTCTCTCTGAGTAAGTAAGTAGGTGTATAAAAAGATTTGAAAGTATATAAACATATATACACACACATACAGTTCGGTTCTTCAGGGTATACCTCAACCAAATTTAAATGCCGACCCTGAACCTGCGGCCCTGAATCCTAAATCCCAACAAAGCTTAACGGTGAGGTGCCGGGTGTGTGGTCGGTGCTGGCTGGATGATCGTGGGAAGACTTCACATGTAGGTTTACAAGTGGGCCAGCCTCCTGCTGCTTTCCTTGAAAGCACCATCAAAACCCCTGGGCTCCACCTACCCTAAACCCTAAACCCTAAACCCCTAAACCCCTACTCAACCCTAAACCCTAAACCTGCGTTAGGCTGTTTTGGCCCTGGGGCAAGAAACGAACTCCCTACCTCGGGCCCTGCACCGAAAATCATGGCACCTCCTCTCGATATCCTAAGTAGTGGGCTTAAGGCTTAGAGTAAACCCCGAAAAGTTGGAAACCGGATTAATGACAATTCGTGCTGGGATTCCCTGCTCATTACTCTTAGGGATTGAGGCTGTTGGGTTTCCAACTTTTGGATTTCTACTGTAGGGTTTTCGGTGGTTTAGGGTTTAGGGAACGGCCGGGCGGTGCAGGCGGTTGGGATGGACCTTGTCTCTGCCGAAACGACGCTTGTCGGAATTAGGCTTCGTTTTGCAATCCGTCTCTTCTGGTTCGGGTTTTGTAGAGTAACTTACCGTTACAAATCGTACCTACCTTGCTTGGAGGCTCATGGGACTTAGTAAGTATGGAGTGGTGAATACCTTCATCGGGGTTATAAGTAACTATAATAAGCGTAGTTTAGTAGTTACCTCATCTAAACCCTAAACCCTAAACCCTAAACCCTAAAAGCCCCAAGAAGCTTCAAGTGGGGTTAAAGTTAAAGGAACCGAAGCACTAAACCCTGAACCCTAAACTATTTTCTGCCTTCTGAGTACCGACTTCCTCGGCTGCGTGTCAGATGCAGCTGCTGTGGCCGCGGCAAGCGAGGTGAGCCTCAGTTTTTTTGGTGGTTATTTGTGGATCCGAAATTCCCTCCTGTTTGAAGGGTTAGACCTTCTAAGACTCTAGTGAAGTAGCCACAACCTGGTACTTTGTAGGGTTTGGAGCTGCAGGTGGGATGTAACAGTGGGCTAAACCCTAAACCCTAAACCCTAGACCCTAAACCCTAAACCCAATGCAAGGTTCTGCTGGAGTTGCGTAACTAACGGATAGGTGTTTAAGTTGGGTTCGAGGGTTTCTCTGAGGATGTCGTGCTCGAACCCCAAAGCCTGAATCTCCGTGCATCCGGCTGAAACCATTGGTTTTAGGGTTTAGGGTTGAGGGTTTAGGGTTTAATTAGTGTTTAGGGTTTAGGGTTTAGGGTTTAGGTTAGGGTTTAGGGTTTATAGGGTTTCACTGACGCAGGCATGCAGATCCATCATTCACACAGCTGCGCTCCAGGCACCCAACCTCGACTTCTACAAAGATTCTGACGCTCTCTCCTGCCATATGGTTGAGGGATGGGGCGTCCAGGACAACCTGTAATAAGTAACCCGACTGCAGTAGGCCCCAAACAGAGAATCCTAATCTTGCCCTAAGCGGAAAAGGCGCACAGAGAGTTCACATCTGCACCCTAGTAGAGGGATAAGGAGCAATACCCATGCCCTCAATACTACCTCAACATCCAGACTCGGAAAGGATCCAAGGCTACAAAAGGTACCCTACCTGTAGGGTCATACCCTACCGCTTTTTCAGGGTATCTACTTATGTATATAGCAGATCCTAACCATAAAACTAGCTACCCTCCAAAAAGGGTAGGGTATAAGCCTCTAGGTAGGACAGTGATGTTGGTCCACCGCTTTCATCCGTTAATGCGTCCAGGCAGAAAGTCCCACTAGCTCCGAGGTGCTTTAAACGTGTTCAATTTAGGGTTTAGGATTTTAGGGCTTCGGGGTTCAAGGGTTTAGGGTTTTGGTGCTTGGGGCTTTGGGTTTAGGGGGGGTTAGTGGCCCTAAACCCTAGACCCTAAACCCCTAAACCCTAAACCCTAAACCCTAAACCCTAAACCCCTAAACCCTAAACCCTAAACTTAAGGGGTTTAGGGTTTAAGGGCTTAGGCTTGAGAAGGGCTCTGGGTGTTGGGGTTTATGGGGTTCAATCCTGTGAACGCCCCAGACCACCGGAAGGATCAAAAACATAGATCCCATAAAAGGGGCTCCTTAAAAGTGGATCCCTGAAGGGGATTTAGGGTTTAGGGTTTTATGGTTTTGGGGTTTTAGGGTTTGGGGTTTAGGGTTTAGGGGTTCCTTCAAAGTACCCGTAGTAGCAGTATAAGGTCTCAAATTAGGGGATCTACTTTTCAGATCCTTCCGGTGGTCTGGGGCTTCTAATTACGCCATGACAAAAGGTTGACAATTCAGCCGACACCTGCAGACCTTCAGCCACGAACCCTAAATCCAAAAACCTCAAGCCCTAAATTCAAGAATCAAGAGCCCCCAAAACCCTAAGCCCTAAACCCCTGCCTAAACCCTAAACTCCATGCTCTAAACCCTGGGAAATCCTTGGTTTGTTCAAGGGCAGATTCAAGAAATTCCGGGCCATCTGCATGAGAGTTGTTTGGGTGTAGGTAGGGTGTAGGTGTAGGGTTTCAGGGTTTAGGGCTTAGGATGGAGTTTCATGGGACATAGTAAGTACAGTTCGAAGTAACTTAACGATTGTTGTATTTACCAGGTTTATCAGTATGGCTACCTGTTTAGAACCTACCTATGAGCCTTTATGTAGGGCCCTGCTCTTTACAGGTCCCAGTTCAAAGATAGAAGGCCACCCACAAGCCTGTGACGAAGGCTACAGGGGCATCCTTTTCTCTGGTTTAGGGTTTAGCGTTCAGGGTTTATGGTTTAGGGTTTAGAGCATGAGGCTTAGGTTTCAAGTATCAACTTTGAGGGTAACCCCAAACCCGGAACCCTACAACCTAACCTCCTAAGCCCTAAAACAAGCCCGAAAGGTCCCTTTAAAGGAACCCGATACCCTACCTCCATAGATCCCTTATAGATCCCTTTAAAGGAACCCTGAACCCTGAACCCTACAGATCCCTTATAGATCCTTTTAAAGGAACCCTAAACCCTATAGATCCCCTTATAATTATAATACCCTAACCTCAAACACGTAGCTGCTAAAGCTGAGCTTACGATGCTAAGATGGGACTCAGGGTTCGGGGTCTAATACGGGGTTTAGGGTTTAGGGTTTAATAAGGCTTGGCGTTCTTCCGGTTGGCTCTTAGGGCTTTAACTGTTTGGGTTTCGATATGAACTTTAGTAAGGAGGCCACAAGATACCCCTAAACCCTAAAACCTACCTAAATAACTTTCTATATGAACTGTAGTACCTTAAGGGCCATGTACCCAAATAATATATACTTTGGCCCCAAAGCACCTATATAGGGACTGCTTTAAGGCCAAAGTATATGCTATTGGGATTCACGGTTTTGGGGGTTAGGGGTTTGGGGTTTAGGGTTTAGGATTGAGGGTTTAGGGTTTAGTCTTTGGGATTCAGGGTTTAGGGTTTAGGGGTTTACTTGGAGGGTCGGGAGACTTAGTAAGTAGGCAATAAGTAGACTTATAAGGACCCTAAAAGGGACCCAAATTGGGCTTATAGTACTTATAAGTCTACAAAATAACCATTTGGTAAGTCCCCCGACCCTCCAAGTAACCCCCTGAACCCTAAACCCTAAACCCTAAACGCTAAACCCTAAACCCGAACTTCCGTTTTGGGGTTCTTAAGGATTTAGGACGTAGGACAGGGTTCAGGATGAAACCGCAGGGTTGAAGGATCTAGGGCTTAGGGTCCGTCCATGCGAAGCACCAGCAACTAGAGAGCTCCAAGAGGTGCCTACGGTTTGGGGTTTAGGGTTTAGGGTTTAGGGTTTAGGGTTTAGGGGTTTATAAGGTTTAGGGTTTAGGGTTTAGGGTTTAGGGAGCCATCCGTCCATTCTTGCGAACTGCCAGCCCTGGCTTTAGACACCCTCATCTTTTACTGCGGCAGCGAAAGCATGCCCCTAAACCCTAAACCCTAAACCCTAAACCCCTAAACCCTAAACCCTAAACCTTATAAACCCTAAACCCTAAACCCTGAACCCCGAAGCCCTAAAAAATGCTTGATTTCAGCTTCTGCACCTGAACGACGGAAATACGATCTTCCGTACGGCATTAACCTGAGGACTTCCTGAGCCCTAAGCCCTAAGCCCTAATTCCCTAACCCTAAGGGTCCATGTGCCTAAATAGTATATACATTGGCCCCAAAGTATCTATATATGGACTACATTAAGGCCAAAGTATATACTGTTTGGGTACATGGACCCTTAGGGTAAGGGTCCATGTACCCAAAAAGTATATACTTTGGCCTTTTATTAAAGGTGCTTTTTGGGGCCAAAGTATATACTACTTGGGTCCATGGACCCTTAGGGTAACGACAGAAAGAGGTGCCACTGCGCTTTAAAACAGAAAACCCTAAGGACTTCGAGCGTGTGAATGTTGTCGGCACCGAGAATGTGATGCGGCGGGCGGATGAAGCACCGATGTGCCTTGACCCCAAAGGATCCGAGGGTTTGGGGGTTTAGGGTTTAAGGGATACCCAAAGCATATCAGTAAGTTCGTAAGTCCTACTTAAAAATGCTACATTCTACTATGTAGGTACTTACTTCGGATTCTATGGGACCCAGACATCGAAGCATCAGTACGGAAGAACAGCTGTTACAAGTATAGCAGGATCCTCTACTGCCGCTCCTCTTACGGCGCCTGCAAGAGGCTGTTGTAGCGGCAGTTCTCGGTGACCTTGCAGTGTCTCTCCGCATTCGCACCTCTGGTTTCGAATTCGGAAGAAGTTACTGCACTCACATCTACCGTTACCCTTCTAAAGCGTACAACCTAAACTATGAACCATATCCTACTGTTCTGTAGGTCCTCGTTATACAAGCCTTGGTATTATGGGATTCACAGGGACCCCAGCCGCAAAGTATGTCATGATGGGTTGAGGGAGTGTTTCTTAAAGGCTCCATGTACCTTTATAGTAGAAGGCTTAAGCAACTACTATAAAGGTACATGGAGCCTTTGGGTTTGCTTAGCACCAAGGGTCGGCGTGGTCTTTTCCTCGACGACATCCTTGATGAACACGGCTGAGGCACCGACTCAGTGCAGCATCATTTGGGAATTTCCGAAACTGAGGGGTAACTTATTTTGGGGTCCTTATAATAAGCATCCTACTATTTTGTGTGCTATATTAGGGTCCCCTATTTTCGGAAAGCCCCATTTCTCTAAATTACGGTCCCTGTCTAGATCCCCCCCAAAATAGTACGGCCCCCTCCTAAACCCTAAACCCTAAACCCTAAACCCAGTGCCCTAAAAGGGAGGTACATGCAGCCGTTGGGGCAGTTCGGCCTTGATGGCTTCAGAGAAGGTTTTAGCAGGTTTGAGGGTTTAGGGTTTAGGGTTTAGGTTTTAGCAGGTTTGAGGGTTTAGGGTTTTTGGGTTTAGGCGTAAGCCCTTAACCCTGATCCCTGCACCCTAATCCTTAAAAGGGCTACCTGGACCCGCAGGGCGATTATCGTAGAAACTCCTAGGCCGAAGTTGTCTGCACACGCGTAGTTTTATAAATTAGGGTCCCTTTTAGGGTCACTTAATAAGGCTCCTTAAAGGGATCCAAAGGGCTTCCATAGGGCTTCTAGAACGTATGCGTTTAGGGGTTTTAAGGATTGGGGGTTTAGGGTTTAGGGGTTTAGGCCTTGCCTGACATCCCAAAACAACAGGTTTTCAGTTTTCAGGCTTCTACCCTCTACTTAAGGGATGATAACCTACTAGTTTGTAGGGTTTGTGGCTTAGGATGTGGGTTTGAGGGTTTTAGGGTTTGGGTTTTAGGGCGTAGGGATTTAGGGGTTTAGGGTTGAAGGATTTAGGGTTGAGGGTTTAGGGTTCTCTGCCGCGCAACCATGTCGCTTGCTGTGCAAGTTGGATTGCTCAGTGGCAGGACAGCTACTGTGCAAGCCGACTTGGAGGAAGCAGTCGGAACATTGAAACGTCGAGCTGAGACCGCGCTCGAAGTGGGCAAAGGGCAGCTGGCACACTCTTCTGGAGGAGTTCTGGATGTACTTGCACCGATCAAGCGTGCCCGGCTGCAGGATGGTGACTCACTGGTTTTGCATATCAGCAGAGTTCAAGTGCAAGCCACCCACCACGCTTTTGCAGCCGTTCTTGGCGATAGATCGTTCGAGACCTGGGGTGCTTCTGACTATGGCGGTAACAGTAGTTATGTGCAGGCTCAGCTGCAGAATGTGCAGCAGATCCAAGCTTCGGAGGGTGCGTTTGCTGCCATTCTCGGCGGTGGCTTTGTCGTGACTTGGGGCAACACTTACCAAGGTGACAGTAGTGCTGTGCAGGACCAGCTGAAGAATGTGCAGCAGATCCAGGCCACTGGCCGCGCTTTTGCTGCCATCCTTGACGATGGCTCCGTCGTGACATGGGGACTTGATATCGGAATTGAAAATTATGGTGGTGACAGCAGTGCAGTCCAGAATCAGCTGAAGAATGTGCAGCAGATACAAGCTTCCAAAAGTGCTTTTGCAGCCATTCTTGCCGATGGCTCTGTCGTGACCTGGGGTGATGCTGGTTACGGTGGTGACAGCAGTGCAGTGCATAATCGGCTGAAGAACGTGCGGCAGATCCAAGCCACTAGCTTCGCTTTTGCTGCCATTCTTGGTGACGGATCCGTCATGACCTGGGGTCCTTCTGACTCTGGCGGTGACAGTAGCGATGTGCAGGATCAGCTGAAGACTGTGCAGCAGGTCCAAGCCACCGGCAAAGCTTTTGCAGCCGTAATTGCCGATGGATCGGTCGTGACCTGGGGTGATCCTGCCACGGGTGGTATCAGTAGTGATGTGCAGGATCAGCTGAAGAATGTGCAGCAGATCCAAGCCGCCCGCTGGGCGTTTGCAGCCATTCTTGCCGATGGCTCTGTCGTGACCTGGGGTGATGCTCGTTACGGTGGTGACAGCAGTGCAGTGCACAATCAGCTGAAGAATGTGCAGCAAGTCCAAGCCACCAACAGCGCTTTTGCAGCCATTCTTGCTGCTGGATCGGTCGTAACCTGGGGTTTATCTGGCGCAGGTGGTGACAGTAGTGCAGTCCAGAATCAGCTCAAGAATGTGCAGCAGATCCAAGCTTCGGACGCTGCGTTTGCTGCCATTCTTGACGATGCCTCCATCGTGACATGGGACTTTCTGGCTGGGGTGGCGACAGTAGTTCTGTGCAGGATCAGCTGAAGAATGTGCAGCAGATCCAGGCTTCGAGCAGTGCTTTTGCTGCAGTTCTGAGAGATGGAGCTGTCGTCACCTGGGGCCGGGATATGGAAGAGGAAGAGCAGAAGGAGGAGGCAGAGGACGAGCTGGAGGAGGAAGAGGAAGAGGAAGCGGAAGACAAAGAACTACTGTAGTCACCTCTGAAATGCAAGCCCTGGGAACCATTGGGAGTCGAGGCTTGTCCCCGGCTTTGCCGTTAAAGCCTTGGGGTTGACTTGGTGCCTCCCGGCTTCTGTTTCCGGTTCTAAGACAAAATTATCCTAATAGGGTTACTACTACAGTGGCTTGCAATTAGATTGGGGATACTGCAAGGGACTCTCTACTACTTGCTGTCAACGTCAAGTACCCAGAGACTCCAATATCCCTTAATTAAGGAATATACCTTAAATCATATTAGGGATCCTACTACAATTTAAGGTATATTCCTTAATTAAGGGATATTGGAGTCTCTGGGTAGCAGCCTGGCAAGTTGCAGCTCTGCGATACGCGGGACACTTGAAGCTGGCACCACAAGTCTTGGCGTTCTTCTGGTTGGCTCTTAGGACTAACTTTTTGGCTTTCTATATGAACTGTAATTAGGAGGCTAAAAGTTTAACTTGTAGGAGGGGTCAGAAGTCAGCACCGGAGCCTAGCTATATTCAGGCTATATTCTAAGTTCTAAATCCTCATATTTGATTTATGGGAGCTGGCGGAGCTGGCTTCACTTCACCTTGTTTTGTTATAGATTTAGGTTTAGGCTTACTGCAGGGTTTAGGGTACGGCAGTGTTTTGCATGGTCAGGACTTGTTCTGAGTTATTCGGCGTGGGGGTATTATTAACACAACACTTAGCGATGACTGGCGTCATACGTTCAAGTGTCTTTCACTCATGTCCGTGGGTTTGGGGTTTAGGGTTTCTGATAATCAAAAAGGGCCCCTAAGTCCCACAATATGGGGCACTTGGACCCTCAGGGCAGCGCTTCGAGCGCCACCGGGGATCACGCCGGCAACGAATGTCGCGATTAACACGACTGCTGCAAGCAATCCTAAACCGCGGTTTAGGGTTTAGGTTTAGGGTTTAGGGTTTAAACCCTAAACCTCAAACCCTAAATCCTAAACCGAAGTAGTACTTACTCTAGCTATCGCGACCGGCTGCTGCTGCTCCTGCTCCAGTGAGGATGACGATGACCACGACGACGGCTATTGGCGCTGCATCATCTGGGTAGTTCTCTAAATTAGGGTCCCTTCTTAGATCCCAAATATAGTACTTGACCCTTACAAAAAAGGACCCCCAAAGGGACCCTAGTTTTGACAGCTACTCATCTAACATTGCCATCACCACTGGCGCTTGAAGTACCTGGACCCCGAAACCGCAAACCCAAACCCCTGAACCCCAAACCCCTAAACGTTAAAGCTAAAACCCGAAGCCCTAAACCCCTAAGCCCTACAACCTAAACAAAAGATCCTTTTCAAGGAACCCTTGTGGTACCCTTTAAAGGAACCCCTTATAGACCCCTTTAGAGGACACCCTCAAAGCCCAATTTAAGAGGTTGGGAGCCTTTGGGTAACTCTCCCTAAACCCGAAACCCTAAACTCTAAACCCTAAACCCTAAACCCTAAACCCTAAACCCTTCACGGCAGTCTTAGGGGGGCTTTAAAACCGTTGCAGGTGAAAAGGCGAAGTGCAGCAGAGACCATGGTCCTCAAGGCCTGCGGGCGTTTAGGTTTAGGGTTTCCTTTAAAGTGATCTATAAAAGGTTCCTTTAAAGGGATCTATAAAAGGTTCCTCTAAAGGGATCTATAAGGGGTTCGTTTAAAGGGTATTATAAGGGGTTCAATTGAAGGGGGGCTTCGGGTCTAATCGTTAGGGTCTAGGGTTTAGGGTCTAGGGTCTGGGAATTGGGGTCCAGGGTTTAGAGTCCAGGGTTTGGAGTTTCGGATTTAGGGTTTAGGGTCTAGTGTTTCGGGGTTTAGGGTCGGGAGTTTCGGGTTTAGAGTTGTGGGTTGAGGGTTTCAGGGTTTAGGGGTACGGGGTTTAGGCCTAGAGGCGCCAACAGCAACATGCCCTAAACCCTAAACCCTACACCCTAAACCCTAAACCCTAAACCCTACACCCTAAACCCTAAACCCTAAACCCTAAACCCTAAACCCTATACCGTGCGCAGCTCGACGGCCCTCAAGGTCCAAGACATGTATCCTAACATCTGCAAATCCGGCAGCGGCACATCTTAGGATAGGGTCCTTACCTGGGGATCCAAAAACCTACCGTTTTAAGGGTTCTACCCTCTAATTAAGGGGTCATAACCTACTATTTTGTAGGGTTTGGGGTCACAGGTAATAGTTACAATAGGGTTTAGGGTTTAGGGGTTTATGGGTTTAGGGTTTAGGGGTTTACGGCTGATGATCTAGATCCTACATGACACCGATATTAAGGAATAGACCAAAATTTTCAAAGTCTAGGGTCCTTAAGGTAATGCAGGGTTTAATCCTCAGCCGTATTTCTCAACAGACTCTAGCCATGAATACAGGAAACACCCCAAACCCCTTTAAGGTTTAGGGTTTGGGGTTTAGGGTTTAGGGTTTAGCCACACTCTACTACCCTAAACCCTAAACCCTAAACCGCGCACAACAAGACCCCACACCAAGAACAACCCTAAACCCGGACCCGAAGCCCAGAGCTTGAACTCCAAAGCCTGTTCGGGGCTTAAAAATGGAGGATGTTTAGGGTTTAGGGTTTAGGTTTTAGGGCTTAGGGTTTAGTTGGAAGGTCTTATAGGGTTCTGATCATCGTGCTTTATCTAGGGTTTAGGGTTTAGGGTTTAGGGTGCCCATGCGGGCCTTAGGGCAAGCAAGACATTGCTTGCAGCACCGTGTGGCTTAAACAGGCAAGCATAATGCACCAGTAACTCAGTATGGTCAATTTAGGGACTAAATAATTACCTATACTATTTTGGGTGGTTCCTTATTGTAAATAGTTATAAATATGCACAAAAACCCTATCCTAAATATTAAAGGCACCTACAGTACATGCCCGTAGCAGCCCAACTCTCTAAAACCACATAAAAACTCTATTTGGATACTTTAGGGCCAAACCCTAAACCCTAAACCCAAAGTATAAAGTATATGCTATTTCGTACATGGACCCTTAAAACCCTAAATCCTTATAGTCTTATAGTACCGTTGTAGAATCCCTCTAAACGAACCCTTAAAGTCTTATAGCACACTCATAGCAAGGAACCCTTATAGTCTTATAGTACCCTCATAGAAACCCTCTAAAGGAACCCTTATAGTCTTATAGTACCCTTATAGAAAAACCCTAAACCCTAAACCCTAAACCCTAAACCCTAAACCCTTTAAAGGAACCCTCTAAAGGAACCTTTGGCCTGGACTTTTAAGGGATTAGAAGGGCCTCGAGGCTGATACAGGGTTCAGGGTTTAGGGTTTGAGCTTCAGGGTTGACATTTCAAGGTTTAGGGTTTCGGGTTTAGGGTTTCGGGTTTAGGGTTTGGGGCTTTGGGATTAGGGTTTAGGCTTTATAAGATTTAGGATTCAGGGTTTAGGGTTTCAGGGTTTAGGGTTTAGCCGGAGTTCCCAAACTCGTCTGCGAGTCTCAGCATATCCTCTGATACCAAGAGGGTCCATATATCCTACAACTATGGAATTAGAGTTTAGGGTGCAGGGCTCTTTGTCATGATACTAACCCAAAGGGTCCATATATACTACGAGTATGGAATTAGGCCCCAAAAGACCATCCTCAGTATGGTTTTGGGGACCTAGTTCCATCACTTTAGTATATCTGGACCCTCTTGGTAATGGGAACCCTGTGACTTATGATATCCTGTGGATCCGAAAGCCTATTGCTTAACCGGTAAGGTCCCATAGCCTACTTTGGGTTTAAGGTTTAGGGTTGAGGGTTTAGGGTTTGGTGCTTCAGGGTAGGACTGCTAAAGAGGGCCAAAGTGAAACTCGTGAGCTCTCTATAGAACCCTGAGAACCAACCAGCAAGCTGCTAAAACCCTACACCCAAAGCCCCCAAACCCTAAACTCTGGACCGTAGGCGTTTAGGGTTTAGGGGGGTGTCCTTAATTTTGCGCAAGACTAAACCCTAAACCCTAAACCCTGAACCCTGAACCCTGAACCCTGAACCCTGAACCCTGAACCCTGAACCCTAAACCCTAAACCCTAAACCCTTGCTCTTTGCAACGGAGGCTTCCGTGGACTACGGCACACCGAGGATGGGTGAGAAAACGCAGCATGTGCTGGGGTGCAGGGCTTAGGGTAAGTTTAAAGGGTTTCTATAAGGGTACTATAAGACTATAAGGGTTCCTTTGGAGGGATTCTGGGCTTAGGGTAAGTAAGGTTTGCATGAGGTTCTTCAGGGTTTCGATGAGAAGGGTCTAGGATTTAACAGGCTTCTCCTGAGGGTTTAGTGATTCGCGTGTTTCTTGCAAAGAGAGTATCTCAATAGAGGTTCTTATCATGGATCCGCTTTACGAGTTTAGGGCTACGGTTGAGGGCTGAGGTTTGTGATGGCTGAATGTTTAGGGTTTAGGGTTAAGTTTAGAACCCTAAACCCTAAACCCTAAAACTAAGCCCTAAACCCTAAAATGCAGCAGATGTTGATACTTTCTTGTACAGTTCTTGCAGGGTTCAGGCTTCAAAAACCACGAGATTGAGGAGTCAGGGCTAGGGATTGGGATTTAGGGTTTAGGGTTTAGGGTTTGGGGTTTGGGGTTTGGGGTTTGGGGTTTGGGGTTTAGGGTTTAGGGTTTAGGGTTTAGGTATTGGGATTGGGATTGGGATTTAAGATGATATAGGGTAAGGGCTTGAGGTTTAGCATTTAGGGATGGGGGGTTTGGGGTTCAGGGCTTCGGAATTAGGGTTTAGAGTTTAGGGGTTTCGGGTTGAGGAGTCAAGCCCCGACTCTGTGGCGTGCCATGCCTGGCAGAATTGTCACGAGCGTGGGACTACATCATCGGCCGGACACCACGCCCCTGAGGGTCCATGTGCCCAAATAGATGTACTTTGGTCTTAAGGTAGTCCCTACATAAGTACTTTGGGGCCAATGTATATACTGTTTGGGTACATGGACCCTTAGGGCGCACACTGCGAGCATACAGGCCGCGTGATGGTCGCTCGCGCGGAGCCCTGCTGACGTTGCGGCATTTTCTTGATCTCTGAGGCAGTCATGCCAATCATAGGGTTTAGGGGTTTAGGGTTTAGGGTTTAGGGTTTACAGGCCACCCCTGGGGAGGCAGAGAGGGCAGCTCTGACTGAACCGAATGAATTCAATGAGGCATGGATGCAAAGGGCAGTGTTTGTTATGTTTGTTCAGGGGTCTCTTACGTAAGGGTTTCAATTTAGATGATGGTGTTATATAGGACCTTTTACTCGAGTTGTATAATTATGACATTTCGTTTCTCAGGTTTTAAAGGGCATGATTAGAGCATGTTGGAGAAAGTTGCCAACCGTTGCGGCCCAAGGCTGTCACACAGGAAGTGCTCTGGGGCCAAAGTACGAACTGTGTGCGTAGCTAGCCCCAACCTCAACCCAACAAACCCACTTTGCAGTCGTTTTAGTCAATGACCCATAAAAACTGAAGTCTAAACCCTACACCTTATAAGAACTGAGACTGGACCCTGAAACCCAAGCCAAGCCCCGTACCCTGAACCCTGACACCTGAGCCCTAAGCCCCAAGAGTAACAGGGGAGGATGTATGGGGTTTAGGGCGGCTTTGGGTTTAGGATTCAGCGTTCAGGGTATGGGGCTTAGGGTTTAGGATCTATAGGGTGCAAGTAAATCTCGAACAGTACTTGGAGGATCATGTCACTCAGTAAGTAAGGCTGTATAACTTATAACTACCTTAAGCGGGGTTACAAGTAAATTCAAGTACCTTCCTTATTACCTTAGCTACTAAGCCCTAAACCCTAAACCCTAAACCCTAAACCCTTTAAGTAGGCCATGCGCCTGAAACCTTATATAAAGCCTTATAGAGCAAGTTACTTAAGAAGAGACAACCCTAAACCCTAAACCCTAAACCCTGAACCCTAAACCCTAAACCGTGCGCGGAGGAACATCTACGGCGTAACGAAGAAACGCGCAGAAGAGCTCGGCCAAGGAGCAGAATGAGAGAGTTGAGGACGTCGGAGTTTTTGTAAGACGGTTTAGGGTTTAGGGTTTGGGGTTTGGAGTTTAGGGTTTAGGGTTTAGCAGGGCTTTAGAAAGGGTGCATACGTGGAGGATCATGGGACTTAGTACCCCAGTTGGGGTTCTTATACGTAATTATAAGTATTGTTACCTAAAGTTGCCGTATTTATGACCCTAGTTACTAAGTCCCATGAACCTCTCAGTAGACCCTACACCCTAAGCCTCTAAAGCGATCCCTAGTATACAACCCTAAAGTACCCTTAAAAGCCTGAAAAGGAACTCCGATAACCCTAGTTACTAAGTCCCACGAACCTCGAAGTAAGCCTTCATGTCCTATAGATCCCATAAACCCTAAACCCCAAACCCTAAAACCCTAAACCCTAAACCCTCACACCCTAAACCCTAAACCCTAAACCCTAAACCCTAAACCCTCACACCCAAAGGCCCTACTGGTTTTAGGGTTCAGGGACCCATGGGTCCTTACTCGGAGGTGTGAGGCCCTCTTGAGGAGCTTCCTTGGGGTTTTAGGGTTTAGGGTTTAGGGTTTAGGGTTTTTTAGTACGGTTTAAGCTTTAGGGTTTAAGCTCTTTGGGTATGGGGAGCCTCAACCCTACACCCCTAAGCCCTAGGGCTTAGCGTTTAGGGCTTAGGGCTTGGCATAGGGTTTCGGGTTTGGGGCTTCGGAGTTCCTGGAAATTTAAAGGGGTTCCTGGCTTCCTTGTTTTTTTCAGGGATCCGGTAAGGGTACTGTGGGGATTGGGTTTAGGGTTTAGGTTTAGGGTATAGGGTATAGGGTTTAGGGTATAGGGTATTGGGTTTAGAGTTTAGTGTATAGGGTATTGGGTTTTGGGGTTTAGGGTTTTGGGTTTTGGGCTTAGGGTATAGGGTTTAGGGTTTAGGGCTTAGGACGCCGTCGGGTTCAAAGCAAACTCTGAACAGCATGGCCGAGCGCAGTATTTAGCATGGGGGTCGGACTAGAAAGTTGTCATAGCCATAGCTGACTGTCATCTACACCTACACACCATACATATATATATATATATATATACGAATCTTCATATCTTCTGCCTGCGGCTCTCAAACACACGGAAACGGTAGATCCTTGAGGGGGGGGGGTAGCATATATATATATATATATATATATATATATGTGTATCTATGTATGTATGTATGTACATATATATATATATATATATGTAT